TCCCATGTCCCTGGTTTCCCCTCCCCTCTTTTCCTTAATATCCAAATGAGCCCCATCCCGGGTACTTCGTGAAGTCCAGCACCCCTTCCCTCTACCTCCCAAGGTCCAGTGTCTTCTGGAGTATGGGAGAGGAAGGGGATTTTCTTCCCATCTTCTGGCTCCGCTGGCTCCACCCCCTGCCTCTCCCCCACCCTGACCTGCCCCACAGCAGAGACCCTCCCTGCTTCATCACATACTTTAACAGGATCACAACTGCCTTGGAGCAGAACCACAACGTGGGACAAAACCCTCAGACTTTGGTCTCAGCCATAGTTACGAGAAAATGTGAGGACTCAACTGGGCACTGTGGCCCCTCCCAGGGGCACCCCAGCTCCTGACCGGCTTCCCTGCATGCCTCTGCCCACCTCTGGACCTTCTCCTCTTCCCTCCAGCTGCAGGCTCCAAACCTCCGGACTCCACACTGCCAAGGGACTGTGTTCAAATTGTCACTTTATTTTGCAATGCAAATTAATCCTCTTTCTCATCATCCTTGCCCATCTAAATAGAAGAAGCAAACCTGTCATCGCATTGAATCCCTAAAAGCCTTGAAATGGGTTTTTTTCCTCTATCCCAGGCCAGCTCAAATTCTTAGGCAGTCCTTTTCCCACCTGCCTTCAGAGTCCATCACTTGCTCAGACGGAGTGGAGGGAGCAACTTTTCCTCTTTCAGATACACGAGCCTGTTTGAATGGACAGGAGAGACCCGGCATTTTCTCGTGCTGGCCCTGGGCTGTGGGCTGACTGTCCTGTGAGTCACTTTGTCTGGGGGAGCCTCGGCTTCTCTCTCTGGCCCCTGACAGGGCAGCCTCGCTCTTTGCACCCAGCTGGAGTTTGCAGCTCAGAAGGCAGGAGAGAGATTCCAAAGTCTGGGCACTGAACCTCCCCCACCCACAAAGGAAAAGCGACTTGGAGTTCATTCCCCACCCCCACCCCATCACAAGCAAGTTTTCTTGTGTGGGGGAGCTAGTAAGGTGGGGGCAGGGAAGATAGAGTGTGAATGCTTTAAAGGAACTTATAATAATTTTAATCAGCATTTTTCTTTCCCTTTAAAATCACAAACTTAGCTACTTAATCAAATGTCATGCTTAAGACACATTTACCTCCTTGGGAGAAAAATGAACAATGGCAGCTCAATTTGGCTTTGGATGGGTTTTAAAAATAGTCGACTCTGTGAAGGCCATTAGGTAAATGGCCTAAGAGAGCTTCAAAGAGGACCACCTGCAGGGGGTCAGCAGACTCCTTGGTTGGCAAAATAGGGCAGGGCAGAGGCGAGGGGGCTCAGAGAGACCAGTGTGCTGAAGCTGATTCTAGGGTGCCAGGGTGCGGCTTGCTCCTGAGTGGGGGGTAGCGACCAGAAGTGGGGAGGGGGCCAGGAGAGATTTCTATAGCGGCTACCTCTGAAGACTTCCCTTTTGCACTTGCTGAAGCTGGGAGGCCTGTGTGTGTGTGTGTGTGTGTGTGTGTGTGTGTGTGTGTGTTGGGATGACATCTGTCCACCCTCCCAGTTCCCAAGAGAGGAGGCAAATGAAAAGGTCAGAAATGTGAGATGGCCTCAAAGTACAAGAAATCAATTACATTAATGATGAAACAGAAGTCCTGGTTTTATTATTTTACAGCATGTAAAAAACGACAATGTTTTCATCAAGAGAAAAATATAAAAACAAACAATACCAGGTGGGTGCTTTCTCTGGAGGGAGCTGTGCTGTACTTATCAGCACCCAGAGGAAAAAGGGAACTCTAGTGTGCCCTAGTCCTTACTGATGCGCTCCGGCCTGGGTGGGACGGAGGGCAGGCCCCCGCCCCCAGAGATGACAGAGGCCTGCGCTCGCTTGGTGAACAACTACTGTGTTCTTCAGACTCTGACTTCTCTTCTTACTTCTGCCAGCTTACTCCCTTGCTGTTTTCAGGACACACTCCTTTCTAGCCTAGCCAGGGTCCAGGGACCCCCAGGGGAATGTGGGTAGAACCCAAGGTGTCCTTATACATGAGTGGGGAAAAATGATACGTTTCTTCTTGCAAATTCCAACTGAAATCCAGCATTTCCTTCCATCACAAGCGTAGGCAACAGGCCGCAGGGGCACGAGGCCCCTGTGACCTGCTCTCAAACCCAGAACTTGCAGGCATCCCATCACGCGACCGACATTTCGGCTGTCTCAAAATACCATTGCTGCACATCTCCACTTCTAAATGGCGCTATGTTTTAGATCCACCCACTCATTACTTGACACAATATTAAAGAACACACATTGCTATTTCAAAACTTGGTTTTAATAGTTTGATGACACATTGCAATATAACTGACTTCCTGATAACTCTTCCTAGTCCCTTTAGCGTATGCATTTATAAACGTTCTGAGACAAGGTCCCCACTTTGCACACGGTTGCTGAAGGGGTCCCTGGAACCAAGGGGATCAGGACGTCCCCCCACCCCCAGCCCCACCTGGCCAGGGGCCTACTAGAGGGTTGTTCTGGCTCCTGAAAGGGCCTCCCTCCTGCAGCACCCCCACTTTGTCCCGCTAGGTGGCAGCACTGTGGGCACCCCCTTCTCCGGACTATCCTGGGCCCAGCCTGTTGTTCTAGTACTTCCTGGTCCCTGTGGTGGGGCTCTGTTCCCCCAAACTCCACAGGGAGTAGGCTCCGGGGGGGGGGGGGGGGGGACATCATCCAGGAAGGGCCAGGCAGGCAAAGTGCTGACTCAGCCTGGTGCTTCTTTGAACCTTAATAGCGACGCTGTGTGTGAGGCCACCTCATTTACTCCCCACAAAAACGAAAGCGATTTTACAGAGAAGGAAACAGGGTCAAGAGAAGTTAGATCAGGCACCCGGGCCCCCTCAGTGAGGAAAAGGGGCAGAGAAGTTAGATCAGGCACCCGGGCCCCCTCAGTGAGGAAAAGGGGCAGAGAAGTTAGATCAGGCACCCGGGCCCCCTCAGTGAGTAAACAGCACAGCCTTGTGTGTTCACCGCAAACCTTGGTTTCTTGCCCCCACGGTTCCTCGCCTCCTGTCTTTGCTGTCTTCGTGGGGAGGCAGGTCACCCGCACCTGCTGTCTGGGCGGAGTAGACCCCTATGGCTCTCAGAGACCCGAAGCCCAGGGATGAAGGGCCTGCCTGGGAGTCCAAGTCCCAGCCATGCAGGGCCTGGATCTGCCCCACCACAAACTGCCCCTTCTCAGGGAGGCCAGACCAGCCAAGTGGGGTCTCTGTGCTGACCTCACAAGACTGGGGTGATTCCAGAGCTTGGCTAAGGGAGGCCGCTGCATGGGTCAGATCTGGTGTTAGTTAACTTTCCTTCCAATCCTGGGCCGGCTTCCGCGCTCGCCACAGAAGAGCTGCGCCAGGTGATCCCTAAGGCCTGAGATTCTGCGGCGCCCTCGAGGGCACCGAGTGGACAGCCAGGCCTTTGCGCGCGGTTTCCCGGGTGGGCAGAGCGGTTCGCTCTAGGTCACTTATCTCAGCGAGAGGCCCGCTTGTAGGGCCCCTCCTCCTCCAGCCACTGTCCTGCAAATACAGCCTCACCCGGAAGGCAAGGGGAAGTGTTGCGATGGGAACGGGCCGGGGTACCGGCTGCGGCGGGAGTCTGGGAGGCCGAGGACTCAGAACTCTCAGGGACTCCTCGGGAGCGAGGGCCTGGCCGAGCAGCGGCTGCTGCCTGACGCTCAACCCCGGGGGCTGTGGGAGCCTGGACGTTCAGGTCCGGGCTGGGTTGGGGCAGAAGGTGCTAAGCTCTGACCTGGGACGCCGGGGCTTCTTCCGCCAGGGCCCAAGGCTGGGGCCCGGGGAGGCGGGAAGAGAGGGACCCCTAGTAGCGGACCCTCCGGCTTCCCAGACTCTGGCGCGCCTCTGGTGCAGCTCCGCCTGGAGGAAACTTTCTGCGCAGCCTCTCGCTCCAGGCGCCCCCCACCAGTGCTCCCTCGGGAACGCCCCCTCCCCAAATTAGCGCTCCAGGTCCACCGGGCGCACCCGTAAATGGGTCGGAACCTCGAACCGCTTCGCAGGCCATCCGGTTACCGTGGCAACACCATCCGGCGGCGCCCAGCGGTCCAATCCGAGCCCGCGGCCTCTCTCGAGCCTTTCCCAAGGTGGGGAGTGGGACGAGGCCGGCGATGGGGAGGGGGCGGCCGGGGACCCCGCCTGATGTGTCGCCTGGGCCGGGCACAGCCCCGCGCGGCGAGGCGGGGCAGAGAGCGGCAGCCGGCGCCGGGCAGGGGGCTCGGGCTCCAGTTCGAGGGGCGGGGAAGGCGGGTGACGTGAGCCGGGCCGGGCGGGCGGAGTTGGGACCCGCTCGCGGAGGCGGGGGCGAGCGCTCGGAGAGGCAGACGCGCGGAGGGAGGCGGCCGAGCGGCGCGGGCGGCTCTGCGGCGGGCGCGGTGGGCGCGGGCGGCGGGGCCCCGGGATCCCCGCGCGCCTCCTCGGCGCGGCGCCGCCGCCGCGCGTCCCCACGCCCCGCGCTCCACGGCGCCCTCGCCCCGCGCGCCTCCCGCGCCCGCCTCCTGCCGGCCTCCGGCGCCGCGGCCGTCTGCAGAGCGAGCGCTCAGACGGAGCCCCCGGCCAACTTGAGCGGTGCCGGCCGGCGGCGCACCCCCGGCACAGCCCCCTGACCTGGCGGCGCGCGGAGGCGACCCGCGTCCTCCCGCGTCGCCGCCGCCCGCACCCCCGGACCGCGCCGCCCCCTCGGCGCGGGGCTCGGACCGGAGGCGAGAGCCGCGCCACGAGACACGCACCGTGCGCGGCGGCGCCGCCCGGCCTCCCTCCCCACCGCCCCGGAGGGCGAAGCCGCGGCTCCTCCGACTCTCACCGCGCGGCCGCAGCGCCGGAGCGCGCCCCCCCCGGGCCGGCCGTGGGCGCCCCTGCCTCGCTGCCGCCTTCGCTGGCTCGCCCCCGGAGGGGCGACGAGCCCCGCGCCCCGGCCGGAGGATGTGCGCCCCCGCGGGCCGCCCCGCCTGAGCCATGCGCCCCAGCGGCGGCGGCGCGCCGGCCGGCATGGAGCCCCGCGCGGCCGCGCTCTGACTCGCTCTGCGCCCCGCGGCCGGCGGGCGGCGGGCGGCGGGCGGCGGCGGACCGAGAGCCAGAGACCGGCGCCGCGGGACGGAAGCGAGCGGGCGCGGGCGTCGCGCAGATGGCCGGGGCGAGCAAGGTCTGAGGCTCCGCTCCCCGAAACGTGACCATGTGGATTCAACAGCTTTTAGGACTCAGGTGAGCGACCCGGCCAGCGCCGGGGTGCGTGTGGGTGCGTGGGTGCGTGGGTGCCGGGCTGGGCGGAAGCGGCGCTCTCCTCAACGTTGCAAATAAAGGGACCCCTCCCCGCGCCCCGCTAGCTGCCAGAAGGGGCCCCGGGAGCTCGGTCGGGGTGCCAGTCCGGAGCTCGGAGCTCCGCGGCCCCGCAGGGAGCGGCCGGCTCTCGCGGGCTGCGCGCGTCTGGGTCCGGCCAGCGGCGCCCGCCCCAGCTCCCGGTGCAGCCGGGCTGGCCGGGGCGAGCCCGCGGCTCCCGGCACCAGCAGCGCAGTGTCCTGGCCTGCCGCCCCGGCGCGCCTCCTCCCCGGGGCCCGGCGGGCCGTGGACCCGGGGCGGGGGCCGGGGCTGCCGGAGAAAGCTAGAGCTCCCCGGCTCCCGGCTCCCGGCTCCCGGCTCCCGGCGAGAGCTTAGAAGGCGGAGTTGGAGGAAACCAAAATCAAACAGCCACTGCGCCCTCCCTTTCCCTTCCTCGGGGCCCCAGGGCTGAGCAGGGGCCTCCCGGGCTCCCAGCTGCCGATCCAGCTGTTTGCCGGTGACCTCCGGGCCCGACGGGCGCGCACAGCTGGCGGGCAGCTGGGGCGGGAGACGCTGGGGCTCTGGGGGAGCGCGGGCGGGCACCCCCCACCTACCCACTCACGCAAACACCCGCGGGAGTGCCCCGGGGCTTGTCTGAGTCCGGACTCCAGGGCCAGCTGGAACCAGGGGGTCGAGCCCGGAACTCGGCGCCAGGGGTACACAGGAAGACCCTTTCCGGCAAACTTTGCCTGCTTGCTGTGGAGCTCGGGCTTTCAGCCCGTGCCTGGGGCGGCGTAAAGCTCAGCAGTGCATAGTTGTCTCCTTGGCGGGGCAAGCTGCTTCCAAACCGTCGCCCGCCTGCCAGGGGGCTTCGCGGAGCTGGTGCGTTTTTGGGTCCCGGGTTGCAGCCGAAAGCAAGGAGGACATTGGCGGAGGCGGAGAAAGCGGTGCGGTTCTCGAGTTTGTCCACTGGGATGCACTGCGCTCCCATGCTGGGGAGGAGAAGGGCCCCTAGGTGCTGGAGCGGCTGCCTGAGCCGCCCCCACCGCCGCCCCATCAAAGCTGGGGGGAGTGAGCCGAAAGGAGAATCAAGTGCGCGTCCTGATTTTGAGAAATCAGAAGAGGACAGAGCGCGCCACGCGTTCTCTAGCTACCTTTGATTTATGAGACAATCCCCCATCCCCGGGGTAAAGACTGTTTAAAACATCTAGTGAAAATTGTCAAATGTTATCCGCCTTTTTCTGGAAAGCGGCATTCCTTCTCCTGGGGGCTGGGTCTTGTTTGCCAGTGTGGGCTTTAAAAGGTTAATGGTGAAGCGGATCCTGTTGGGTATCGGCGTGGCCTGAATCGATATAGTGTGTTTGGACTAGATAAGGTTTAGGCTCCCTGTTCTGGGACGCAGACAAAATGGAGCTAGGGCAGCCTTGCCTGGTGACCCCTCCAGGTGCCCTGCCATGGCGCCTCTCAAGGCTCAGCCAGCCCTGGAGGCCCTCTGGAAGGATCAGGAGGTCCCAGCCCTGGTTCTGGGAGCACCTTTGGCTCCCAGATGCTTCCCGAGCTACTGTCTCGTCGCTTGGTTCCTGACTGACTGCTGGCAAGTTACAGGTTTTTCTTTTTTTTATTACTAAGTTGCTAGATTGAAAGATTAGTACATTTTGATAAGGGGAAGAGAAGAGTAAATGCCGTGGAAAGAAACCTCTCTGTTGTTCAAAATTCACTAAAACAGTTCCTCTAAAGCATCCCCAAGTGAGATCTCCTTGGGATTTTGCTGTAGGAAATAGTTCTGTTGGTGATTTTGAAGTTTGACCTTTTGCTTTTTTTTTTTTCCTTCGGTGTTAGCACAAGAGATTTTCTGTGAGTGTCTCTAAGGACGAGCTGTCACCTATCTAGGAGGCTGACAGGAGAGAGATCTGTCATATCTGTGAGGGCCATCCCCTGGCCAACACAGGTGTCTTGCCGGGAGGGTCTGTGTTGTTTTCCCATCACACCAGGCAAGGGTAACGGTAGCAAAGTCAAAGCTTGCTCCAGACCTGGAAATGCGCTTCTTCCTTGAAGAAAGCCCGTCAGCTTTGCTTACAAGCCACACTCTGGCTCCCCGGGGGAGCCCTGCACATCCTGCTGCCCGGCTTCCAACCTGGTTTCTCGGACAGACACCGAACCTAGAGCCCGGGTCTGTGGAAGGCTGCTCTGAGCATCACCGGAGCAAGAAGCCCTCCGCTCAGGCTCCTGAGGCAAAATCTGGGCTTGGTTTTTTGCTCCTGCGTTTGACCGGAGCTGTGCATGGAGCCCTTTTCTTCTCACGAGGCAGAAACAGACTGAGTCTTGTTTTCATGCCTTTTTGGTCGTAGTTGTATCAAAGCTCCGAGCACGGATAAAGGTATCTCTCGAAGGCAGCCCAGTAGCTTGACCAGCTGCTTCGGAGCTCAGACATAAACGAGCACCGGGCCCAGCTTGGAGGGGCGCTTACTCAGCACGCAGCGGAGAGTGTGGCTGCCTCGGTGTTTAAGTGGCCTCGGAGTCCGCAGCTTCGTCAGGGGCTGGGAGCGTGCACGGCATTTGCTAGATGTGCTCAGGCGGGCCGCGGCGAGCCAACGCCACGCTTCTTCCCAGGCCGTGCCCCTGGGGGTCGCTCTGTCTGTTCTCCCACCCCCCAAGGCCCTGGCTGTGTGCGTCTGCTCGGGGGTGGGTGTGTAACAAAGTGCTGGGACTCTCTTCCTTCGCGGGTGCTCCGCAGTCCCCCCGAGCTCGGGCCATGCGCGCGGTACCGTGTTTGGGCCTCACCACATGGGCCCAGGGGGCGGGCTGTCACCATCCCCGCCTCTAAAGCCCAGCAGCTGGGGCTGTGTGGAGGCTTTAAGGGGACGGACGGAGCCAGGCGCCCTGTCCACGGACATCGCCCTCCTGGTGAAGCCTGGCTCGTGCCCATTTCCGACGGCTGCTATACCAAACTGATTGCAGCCGGAATCCATCGAGGGTCGGCGGCTGGGAAGCTCACCAGCGACAGCGATGCTGGAGTAAATGGCCCTTCTGAGAGGCAGCTCCAATCTTTCCACCGCTGAGGCGCGGCCCCCTCCCCTCCGGCCACGCCCACCCAGGGGATCCACTGTCCAAGCGGAGGAGGGGCTGGTGGGCGCCTCCTAGTCGGTCCCTTCTGTTGATTTACTGTAATCACCTGCTTCCTTCTCTTCTGTGCATCCAAGCTGGCGGTAAGCGGGGAGCAGGGCAAGCCAGCTCACAAGCAGAGACAGCTCCACGCCTCCCCGAGACGTCTGTCTCCGGAGGGGGACAGCCTGCTTCCCCACTGCGCCCTGCATCCTCTTAGCTGGGGTCGTTCAGGTGTCAGCGGCCGGGTGGCAGCCCAGCTGGCCTCGCCATCCCCCAGCCCACTGGCCTGGGCGCCATCAAGATGTCTGGCACAAGGGGGTCCAGCGTGCTTCCTGCCGCATTTATCTCCCTGGGCTTCTTGTGGGAAAACTCCGCTGCCCAGCCATGTGGATAAAAGCTGCCCCTTAGGTCATGATGAAGTGGGTAAAGAGCAAACCCCAACCCACCCATGACTGCCGGGCCTTCCAGAGCCCAGGGGCTCCTGTCTGGGGTTATGTAAGAGTCATCTGCTTTCCATATGCGTGGTTGCCAAGTTTTCTTCAAAGGGCTACAAGTCAGTAGAGACCAAATTGATGTAAAGATTAGCTTGGAAAGCCAAATATATCCTTGATCTAGATTTTCATGTTTGAAGTCTGGCTCGAGAGGGTTTCTCCTGCCCGATGCCAGTCAGACACGAGGGGGAGGCAGGAGCCGGGGCTTGCTGGAGCTGGAGCAGACAAGCCGTGGGGCCCACTGACTCTCTTTCTCTAAGACCCCCTTCCAGGAATTCAAAGGAGTCGGTGAGTCATAAGGCCGCCGAGTGGGGAGTGGCACTTACGTAACTCAGATTAACTCTCAGTTAATAGAAAGTCAGAGGCTGCAGCGTCCCCATGTCAGAGCTTCGGGGGCCCCGGTGTGTGTGGGGGGGTCCGGCTCCCCGAGTTCCTTATCCACATCAGGGTTGGAGCAGAGCTGGTTGCCTGGGGGAGGCCTGGCTTCTCCAGCCCCCTCCCCTGGGGCAGGGCCCTGTACTCCAGCAATCAACAAGAAACAGTGGGATTATTTCTTCAATGCCAGGTCCCCGATGCTCCTTCCAGAAGAGGGTGCAGGATTCATTCCCTGCTGCTGCTGGGGGGTGGGGGGCAGCTGCCTCATTGTCTCCCAGTAGCCTCTGGACAGGTCGAGTTAATAATTGGGATGCCTGGCAGGTGCGGAGAAGTGGCCGGGTGAGCTGTACAAGGGCCCTGGGGACAGTGAGAAGCCAGAAACCCAACATTCCTCGGTGGGTGTCTTCATTGTTATGAGGATCTCCGACATGGCTGAAAGAGAGCCCAGAGCAGGGGCGGCATGTTGGGAGTCGTGTGCTGGCAGAGGCCAGGGTCCTGCTGCTGGACCAAGGGGACCTGGTGATGGCGGGGGAGGGGCTGGGGCTCGTATTTGCTTTTCCATCCCCTGCATGCGCTCTGCAGAAGGGTGTCACTTTATTTCCTCATCCCCCCTGCTCCCCCCCAAGAAAAGGTTGGTGGCAGCCATGCTGGGCCCATCTGTGCGTCAGCCTTCCCAGCCTGCCCTTCACTGTGCTCATTCTGTCCACTCACTGGGACGCCTGCCATTTGCTGCACTTTCCCTTGGGTGGCCAGCCAAGGAGGGCTGGCGTGGCAGGGCCCACTGCCGCTCTGCCCTCTCCCACCGTTTGCAGCCCCATGTGGGCAATTGCCTGGGCTGTGTCGCCTGCCCTCCCCGTGCGTGACCTCAGGGGTTTCTGGAATGGGGCCGCATCAGGACCTTGTAGCTGGCAGTGGAGACCCAGGGGATGTGTCCACCGGAAACCTGTGTTCAGGCTTCCTCTTTGACCCTGAAGA